CAGCACATCTGTTGATTAATACATGAGAAAGACTTGGTTCTAACCAATCAGCGCGCTCTTTTGTGAACAAAATGCAACTTCATTAGTATGCATGATATAGCTTCGAAGACTCTATACGGATTTGGCAAGTGTGTTATCAATGTTCTCGGTTTACGTTTATTCAGATGGCTAAGTTAGTTGGTATCCACTGTCTTCCCCTTGTGAAAATCAGCTGTAGTGCACAGAATGACACTCCCCTTTACAAGCAAACCCTTCCTTCTTTTGAGACTCCTACCTAAACAAAGCTGGACTCAACCACTTTCCTGACTTTTTTTATACAAGAGGTGTGAAAACAACCTGCTGAGAAGGGGGGAGGGGGAGAGATGGGTTAATGGCCCTTTAGCAATTTGCAGTTTGCAATATTAAAACCGTCTAATGTAATTACAATGCTAAAAAAAATCTATATACAAACAGTATGTGAACTAAAAAGCAAAAAGAATAAAACGTTCTTACAATCAATTGGTGGTGACAAAAATAATTATGATTGATTAATATCATATTTTTATTTACATTTATTAAATACACAACTGCCCACAAATCTTATAAATACATCTTTGAAAAGATCTATGGGTTTAGCTTCAGTTATTGTTCCAGTCTTGAATCCGTCACATTTAGGTAAATTGTTAATTGGTCATAAAGCTCCCCTTTTAATTTAAGACTAACTCAAGGAGGGCAACTTATATAGACACACACATACAGTACCCACTTTGCAGGAATAGAAAAGTCCTCACCACCAGACCATTTGAAAGTAAAGTCTGTCGATGTTTGAATGCAGTGTCAATCCTCTGACAAGTCAGCTGATAGACTCAGCTTTCAAATGTTTCAGTGTCTGTGTAAGCACTCTTGTAAACCGATTATCATTAGAGTCAATCACAGTCATATCTGTGTGTGAACACCGGCCAATCAGCAGTGTCCAAGAATCCAATTAGCAGTACTCAAAATGTAACTAGGAAACGCTGCTATGACCACATTTTTTATTTTAGTACAGATTCATCGAAGGTGGTACTTTTGACAGCACTACTAGTGCTGCAACCTATCAGTAACATATAAATACTGTGCTGTCTCATAGCTTGACTAAATAATTCAGAAGCAATGTCTTCTCATAGGATAAGAAAACTCAGTCTCAGGAATAATAATTAGATACCAACATGTCATTGAAGGACTTGTAGTCCTAGGCTACGTCACCACCAGTTACACCACCAATATACAGTAAATTCTAACCCAGCATATGAAATTAGGGAGAAAAAGCTCAAAATTAGCCAGTTGTTCCCTACAATTAAAGCTAACAGATGCTAATGCTGCCTTAATTGATGTTTAACACACATAAATGTTAAAATCTCAGAAAATGTAAATGAAGGGTTTCGTTACACTTTAAATTAAATAGTTTTATCCCAAAAACATTAAATCTGCTATATTTGAATATATTATTTATTGTTTAAGCTGGATCTCACTTGAACATCACTGCACTCAATCATTTTTCTATAAATATTATTGATCTATATGTATCAATCAAACCAACATTTATATTTTCTTTTTATTTATTATAATTAACAAAACTATAGATCTGTTAATGTTAATGGTCCATTAAATCAAAAAGCTTGAGAATCTCTGATACAGAGGATCATTGAAATGTCAAATTTTTAGCACAATGTAGGATTTCTACAAAATATTTTGTCCCCACAATCAGCACCGAAAATGTGCACGGATTCCTTATTGACGTGGTTATGGAAAAACAAAACAAAAAAATAACAGTTTCATACAACGGCTGGGCAGAAATGTTCTATTCCTCACTTTCCTCACGTATCTCTCTCTGTCTGAAAAACAGCTCATCAATCCATCATAAAGAAATCGCTACCTAAAGACAACCGTACATGAACAGAAGCCATGCGGGTAAAATTCAGAATTGAAACGAGAATAGACAGTGTTACATAAGACCTCTTCACTCATCCTTGTACCTGATTGCTGAGGCCTGGAACACAAATCAACATGATTGAATGTGAGCAGACAAACCTGACCTAGACAAGAGACTGCAATTCTGTAACTTCTGGCAACATAAAGCGTCAGTCTAATTCTGTGTGCCATCCCTCGACTGGAGGCAAGACGACATGATTTACACAAACAGCAAATGTTCCTGGATCAACAACCTCTGTCACTTTTGGAAGATCTTTCCAGGAATCAGCCATTTCTCTGAGCGTAATCACAAAATCACAGGCATAGGAAGGTTAGTTAAGGACAACAAAATGTGGGGATTTACCTTAACACTGTAGAAAATGCTTTTCTTTCTTAGGTTTTGTCTTGTTTCTACTCTAAATACCTAAAAAAAAGTCTACAAAAAGTCTGCTCCTTGATTTTTACTCCAAGTAAGACCTTTTCTGCAATGAAATCCATACTAAAAATATATATATATATAAATAAAATTCAATAATTTAGTCTACATTTATTGTTTAATATACAGAAAAGGCCTTAAGGTTATAGTTCAATCAAAAATATCCTTATCTACTCATCTTTATCTTTTTCCAAACCTATATCTTTATTTATTAGATCAAATATACAGAAAAGGTCTTAAAGGTTTAGTTTTTTTCCAAAAAAAGGTCATTCTATCATCATTTACTCATCTTTATCTTAATTCAAACCTATGAGATATGTATTTTATAGATCAAATATATCAGATATGGCCTTAAAGGTATAAGATAATGTTAATTATCTTATAATTTACTCATCTTTATCTTATTCCTAACCTCTTATACTATATGCGATCTGTATTTATTAGATCAAATATGGCCTTAAATGTTTAGTTTATTCCAAAAATGGCAATTCTATCATCATTTATTCATCTTTATCTTAATTCAAACCTATTTGAGATCTGTATTTATTAGATCAAATATACAGATATGGCCTTAAAGGTATAGTTCAATCCAAAAATTTTAATTTTGACATCGTTTATTCATCTTTATCTTATTCCAAACTTATCTGAGCTCTGTATATATTAAATCAAATATACAGAAAAGGCCTTAAAGGTATAGCTCAATCCAAAAATGTTAATTATACCATCATTTACTCATCTTATTCCAACCCATATGAGATCTGCATTTATTAAATAAATTTACAGAAAATGCCTTAAAGTTATAGTTAAACCCAAAAATTGTAATTCTGTCATCATTTACTCATCTTATTCCAACCCACATGAGATCTGCGTTTATTAGATCAAATATACAGAAAAGGCCTTAAAGGTATAGTTCAATCCAAAAATATTAATTCTGTCATAATTTACTCATATTTATCTTATTCCAAACCTATTTAAGTTTCTTTCTTCTGGAAGATAATTTGAAAAAGGCTAGTAGCTGGAACCCATTGTCTTCTATAATCATTTTTGTCTACTACGGTAGTCGACAGGAACAAACATTTAATAAATATCTTCTTTTGTGTTCAACAGAAGAAAGAAACTCATAAAAGTTTATAACCACTTGAGTGTACGTAAATGATTTAATAATTTTCATACTGGGTTGAAGTTTACCTTTGACTATATTAGCGTCCATATCAACAGATGATTGCTATATTTTTTCTAGGCAAGCTCTGCACAATCAGCTTGGGGTGAAAATCATTCTGAAAAATCAGTGTTTTTAGTGTTACAAGATGCTTCAGGAATCATTCTTATATGCTCATTACTATGTTAAAATACACTCTTAATAATATGTGGACGGCATTTCATATTTCTTTGCATGATTTTTCAATTAATAGGAGATTTAGAAAAGCATTCTCTTGAAACTAAAACCATTTGGATAGAAATCAATGAAATGCATACTTCCTAAAATAAATCTACTAATATCTTAATACCAAAACTTACTATAAAACTTTTGCACATTGCAGTATAGCAATCAAATAAACTATCACATTAATCAAGCAACAAAAAAAATTAAGATGAATAAATTAAGTTAAACTGGGGTTGATGGTAGGCATTGGGTAGCAGGACAGACTATACCAGGGGTGCCCAAGAAACGGCCTAAAACCAAACTAGATCAAGACTAGGTGAGGTAGTTTACCATTGGTAATTCCCTCATTTATTTAAGAATGTTTAAAAATGACTTGAACACATTGCTATGCTGTATATTAACTAATACAATATTTGTTTACATTCTATAATGAACTTATTACAAAACAATCAAATTTATAACAATATTGCACTAGTTTTTGCCTTGATTTGCTTGCTGATGTCCTCTGCATAGTCCTTTATCTGTCGAGTGAGCGTATTTACATTTGAAAAAAATCTGATTATTTTACATTTAATTAAACATTTAATTTTTGTTGCTGTTGTTGTTGTTGTTTTTGTAGCTCAGCAATAAAATAAACAAAAAAGGTTACGTCAAATTAGAAATGCTCTCTGTGTTGTGCATCCGCCTCAACCTTCTCCATCATACTCACTCTCCTCTCAGATGGAATGGTGGGCCAAACTAGAGGTTACAATAGACCAACTTTGCCCGTGAGCCCTACTTTGGGCATCTCTGGACCATACAGTCCTTACAGTAAAAAATAATTACCTCTATGGGAAGTCCCCATAAAGATAGCTGTACAAGTGTGTGTATGTGTAATTGAATAATAACTTAATCTAGTTAACCTCATCTCTAAGTCCAACAAAAAACTCAGTCAGTGCCTCGTCTAACCATCAACTATCATTCATCAGACTTTCACCACCGAATGATACCAAGAAAGTCCCCGGAGCTTGGGCAAAGACCCCAATTAGCCTTTAAGGTCAAATTTTGAATCTTTATTTGATATCAAACCTCTTTCCTCCGCCTTTTCTCAGAGGATTTCACCTCTAACGCAAAGGCCACTGATTTTGGCTCTACTCCATCATGGCAATAAAAAATGGGAATTCCATTAAATGTAATGTGTGTTTATTTATGTGAAGCGTGTATTAATCGGTGTATTGATCTGGTGTGTGTGAAGCTCTTTGCAGGACTAACCTATCCAGCCAGGCTAGAAGGCTCTTAGCAGCGGCGATCAGATCCACCACAGACGTGAGGAAGTCATTGGGCAGTTTCCGAGTGGTGCGGCCATCATAATGGCCGCTGCGTCTGCGGCCTGTGATGAAGTTCTGCAGGTTTTTGGCAGAGGCATTGAGCTTGTGCGAAAGAGTCTTCAGGTTTTCGGTCTCCAGCCCGTAGTTCTGTCAAGCAGAGATAAAGAGCACTGAGTGTTTTAGAGGCAAAACTGCTTGGCTCACAATCACAGGAATGACTCAATCAGAACAATGCTTCTCATTTTCCTGCTGTTTTGTGCCTTTTTTTAGATGCACGATTCTCCTCTCCCTCTCGGTTTTTGATTTATGTTTTATTGTGTTTTGTTGGCATGAAAGAATTTTTGAGTTTGTAATTGTGCAAACTGTACAAAAAGAAAAAAACGTCAAAGATACTCGTTAACACAAAAAATATGTCATTTGTTTATTTTAGCTAATGTTAATCCCAACATGTGGAATACAAAATATGAGCTTTCAATGGACAGTTGTGTGTTTAGTACTGTTAACAAAGGTCAATAAATACTACTATAATGAGCGTACTGCTAATTATTATTTAATGTTAGTTTTTATGCTATTCTCTGATAACCATTAGGAACAAGCCTTATGATTCATTAAAGAGACATAAATTACAGTTAAGATCTTTTTTGTGTCTAATGGTTTGTTTTTTTGACAAGTAGCTGTATAATCAGCATAATGTACATCCAGCTGATTGCTGATAAGCCCTACACCAAGGCTATTCAATTGGAGGCCCTCCAAATAGTGACCAAGCACTGCTTTTGCAGTGCTTTGAAATACAACATTTGAATGTTTGTAAATTAAAAACCCACATTGTACAATGGTACATTACAGTACATTACAGTACAATACAGTATATTAACATTTCAATGTAGAAAAGTACAACAAGGGTTTCTTAAGGAGTAAAAATACAACATATGGGCTCTTATATGCTGCTGTGTCATCACTAATGTTGCAAGTCATATCTCTCCGGCCCCTAATTTGAGATGCTTTTTTGAACTGGCCCCCATGACAAACTAATTGAATAGCCCAGCACTTGCACTTCACAACTTCACACAGAAACTGACCCACCCAAGGCTTGAACCAGCGACCTTCTTGCTGTTAGGCGACAGCACTACCTACTGCCCTGAAAAATATTTATTTGATGCATTTTTACAGCAGTTTAATTCAGTGGATGTTCTCATCCCTGACATAACAAAAGGGTAGTCAATTTGAATAGTGCACGAGGGTTAAATGAGAAGTTTATTTAATAACAGAAAATAATCTTGTAAGACTTTGCAGATCATGGTGATCTTTTAACTGACTGAAATTATGATTGCGGACTATTTATTTTTGATATGTTGAGTCCTAACATGGGAGAGTTGTCATTACACCATCGTGGATGACATCATTACCCTGTAGCGTAAAAGAACCAGTGGTCTGTTTTTGTGAACTAGTTCACTAAAACAAACTGACTAAAGATCCAGTTCGAAGAAAAGATCCAAACTTCCTATTACTACATCCAATGGGTGTAAAAGCAGGGAAGGGAGACAGGAGATCAATCAAAACTAGGCTTTTATTGAACAGAGATCATTGTGATGTGCAGAGGATATGAAAGCCTTACATAAGCATGCTTATCTGAGTGTCTTTTGCAGGTGAAAAGGAAAGCAACGCTGGACTTCAGGACCACAGACCATCAATAAATAAGCCTTATACCATCAGGTGTGCTGACTGCAGAACAAACACTGAGCGACTATGAGTGAGTGCTTTTAAAGGGAGTTAATGAGGTGCTGCAGGTGATGGTGATTACAATTAAGAAGAGCTGGGGGCCTTGGGAGTGAGGTGGCTATGTGACTGCTTGAAAAATACTACCAATTAATTTATCTATTATGAAAAAAGAAACAATGAAATAATGAAATGTGATGTGTTTACTACAAAAAGTAAATGTGATTAGCACCAGTATATTCAAATGTACCAATACATTCAAATAAATACTAATCAATTTATTAATAGGGAATCTATTTCTAAAAAGCTTTTAAGGAAGATGCACTACACATCAAGCGCTGAGCATAGCTGTAAGAGTGACAGACACAAAGAATGCTCACTGACTCTCTCTCTCTCTCTCTCTCTTTCTCTCTATCTCTCGCACGCGCGCACATCCTCAAAGATCACTCAGAGATCCCAAATGAATATTCAGAGAGAGAGAGAGAGAGAGAGAGAGAGAGAAAGAGAAAGTGAGAGAGACGGCGAGAGCTTCATATGCAGAGGTGTGTGTTGAGTGGGTGGAGACAGAACATAAAGTTCAGTGTATGAATAATGCACCGAGAATCTCTGCCGCTCAGCTGATAGGGGCCCTCTCACACACACTCATGTATACTATAAACCCCTCACACACATCTGTATATCTGCATTTGACCAAAAACGTTACAACAAAGACAAAAAAACAGTACTAAGTTCTCAAATGTGCCTTTGCATATACTTCTATACACCTTTTCCCTATCCCCCATGATACTCTGAGGCTACGTTCAGGCTGCAAGCAAATGTAACCCAAATCTGATTTTTTTGCTCACACGTGACTTAGATGTGATTCCGTTATGACAGAGTGAACAGCCCAAACCGCATGGAATCTGATCTTTCGAATTCTGATTTGTGCCACGTTCATATATAAAGAGTTTGGTTGCAAAACGCGATAAACGCCATTTGCTGACATTTGGATTTTATTATTGGAAATCACGGTTCTGATGTAACTTAATCGATGTGTGAATTGCTGCCATTAATAACATTAAGGAATGTACATTTTAGGCCTAATACAAAATGTATTTTTTCACAAAACGTGATATCCGGTGGACCAGTTTCTTTACAAAGTGCGATATAACGCTTTTAGAACGTTTAGGATTCTGCGTGAGCTCAGCATCCCCTACGAACAGAGTCATCGCCGGTGAATTGCTCTGAGTTTGCTCAGTAGTGAGAGTAATGTTGGTCTGTGTCATGCCGACATAATATTAGATGAAGATGTAGCCTTCAACTTCACAAAAATGTATAAAATTGCTACAAAAGTGGACCAGGATCAAATAATCCTGCGTCTGTCAACAATAAACGAATGCAGCAAGGAATGAGTCTCTGCTGATGTCAAGAGGAAGGCCAGGGGTTACAGTGAAATACTGCCTATTTTCCTGCGCTCCTCCCCATCACAAGATACCTGTTTGCAAGGCTACATTTCTAAGTGTCTTTTGTAAGTTTATTGTTTAAATAATTTCTGTGAATACCGAATGAGTGGATGATCACTTGTGGCAAATGCTATTGAGATTTACACAAATGTGTAAATCGTTTCCCAAAAGAGACAAAATCGCAGTTGCTTCTACAGTAGACAGTAGCTGTTTTCATCCACCTATTAGGATAAACTTCTAGGATAAATTTGACAAGAAAAGATGTGCATAAACTACGATGGAAACCCCTTTACAGAACAAATTCCAGCGCATTAAAAAAAGTCATGTGATTTTGTTATAAGAGATGAATGTGAAAAAGAGAAAATGTGCATAATGGACAAACCAGCAGGTTGAGCAAATTGTAAAACTTCTGAAATGTTGTTTAGGTCATTCTAAAATTAACCATTTCAGTACTAGTGTTATATAATTAATGACCTCCAGAACTGTCAAGGGCGTCTGAGCTTTGCGTCTCATGCCTTTGAACGCCACCACGGGATCATTGCATGTGATCATAATCTTCTTATTATATAATGAAATGAATCACGCAGCTTCTCCTACAGCAGCAAATTACGTCTTTACTGTTGATGTTTTGCACCAGTTAATCAGGAAGTGACGATTTTGCTTTGTTTATAATCATTGTTTGGATTGAAACGGTGCTTTATTTGTACTTAACGACAGTCCATTTCCTTTCTTCGTTGGGTTCAAAATATCAAGAACCCATTGCAAAATTGTAAGTATCAGGCCTGCGATTGTTTCTGACTGTTTGTAGTAATTACGGGCGATTTGCGAATAGTTTGTTTTAACCGGATATTCTAAGTGAACCGGTTGGACCATTTCATTAAATTGAACTTAGTTGTCGTGAAATGGTTTGCGTCTTACTTTTTAACATACCGGATGCCCCCTCTGACTTGAAATAAACCAATATCCTGAGAGTTATTCAGTTACTAGAACAGTACACTGACTCATTTGCTGTGAAAAAACAGACCTGATGATGATGAGTCCGAGCCGACTGTCTTTTCCCTTACAGCATGCTCTCCCATTAAGTGTGTGATTCAACCTGGCTAAAATAATTTTTATTTTGCAATTTATATCTTTAAAAGCCGATTAAGCAAGGTAAAAAAGTTGTGTTGCATTTTTAAAAAAAGTAACTGAAACAATAATACTTATTTTTAAAAGTAATGTGTTACTTTACTAATTACTTTAAAAAAGAAAACATTATAACGTAAGATTTGTACTAATGTACACTAAAATATGAAATGTAACATTAATTTTATAATTAATTAAAAAATGCAAAAAGCCAAACATACTCATTATTTGTAGCATATCATCATTATTTAAAATGTCTTCAAAAGTTATGTAAACTGGAAATGCAACTTGAAAAGAGTGTAGGTGTGTTGTGCGTATGTTGAGTTGAGAAGTGCTGAAGTTTGTGTGGTGTGTGTGTGTGTGTGTGTGTGTGTGTGTGTGTGTGTGTGTGTGTGTGTGTGTGTGTGTGTGTGTGTGTGTGTGTGTGTGTGTGTGTGTGTGTGTGTGTGTGTGTGTGTGTGTGTTTGTGTTGCAGGGTCGCAGCAGATGTCCAGGTACTTTTGGCAGGGACCCAAATGAGCTTGTTCCTGCATAAAGAGTCCTGATCAAGGGGCAGAGACTGATCAAAAGCAGCATCATGCACATACGTTCAGGAGCACTGACACACACGTTAGCTTCAAATCCACTGACTTCTAACTCAATAGAAACATGTCTTTCAGAAGCAGTGGAATGAAACAGGAAGATTGGAGTATGTTTTACAAGAAAACATTTAGCTAGTTTTTTGCTAATTTTCTATTTACTTTGATGTTACCCTTTTATTTAAAAATGTTTAAAATATTAAGTATCATGCAAGTTACTAGCAATTTCCAAACAAAAATGATTTAAAAGTAAATCCCACACCATTTTCTTCATTGATAATGTAAT